ACGAATTGCTACAATATTTTTCAAAAATGTTTCGGTGTATACATAGCTCACGGGTTTGTAAACTAAACAATTTTATCTTATTCTGGTCTCTCTCTCTCATCAAATGTATAACTCTGTGTGAAATTAACCGGCAATTTGTTTGCCAATCAATGACTTGAATAAACCCTTTGATATTTATAATACTATATATGGGATCAAAATCCTTAACAAATGCGCGCAATGAACACAGAATATTCTTGAATATAAAGAATATTCTTTACTCACTATCTTTTATATACACAATATCTTAATAATAAATTTTAAAAACAATTAATTATTGTAATTATAATATAAATTTACATTAAAATTAATTAAACTATTATAAACTTAAACAAAACTAATGATTCAACTTTTTTTGTGACCCACAGAATGTCCGGCCGCTGAGGACGGTATGGAGCGGTTCTCGTGTCCGTCGCCCGACCGTATGGGCCGTTACCGGTGTATCGATGATCACGTGCTTTGCGATGGTTTCGTCGACTGTCCCAACGGCGAGGACGAGGACAGGATGTCGTGTATGTTTTACAAGACGGTCAGTTTCATTGTATTTATCATATTGGTGATTTGGATTTAATTATAAAATGGCAACAATGTAAAAATCAATACGAAATAATACTCTGTATACGGCTGTACAGTGTGTTTAAAATGCACAATGTTTTAATAGATTACGTGATTTGATTTAATTTAATTTAATTAAAATTTATTTATAATTAATGTTTTTTTGCGACAATTAAAATTTGAAATATTCATTGAAAATATACTGTATATAATATTTTGCATAATTTGAGACCAATCTATTAAATAAATTATACCGTAATAAATTGGGACATGAAGATTACAGTATGGTTATTATACTTTATAATATACAAAGTCTATATATAGTTGTAAAATACTCGGCATTTTTTGCATTAATTAATTTTTTCATTCATTATGCTAATTCATTATATCATTGATAATTTCAGTGACTTGTCTCAATCACTATATGGTAATTTATTTATGATTTTAGTGCAAATTTGTCTGAATATGATAAAAATAACTGATATACTTTTAGTCCAAATGTACTCATAATTAAGATTACATTTGCTATAATGTAATTAAAGATCAATGAATTAAAATCAATTTAATTCATATCAATAGCAAATCAAGAAATATTTTAATTACAGATATTTTGAAATATATAAATTTTATTGATTAAAAATATTTTTATACAGATTTATATGAAATAATATGAGTATTCATTTACTATTTATAGAAAGTATAAAATATTTCTTATAAAAACAGAAAATATTATTGAATTCTTATTATTAAACCAAGAATTAAGATATTTTTAGTAAAATATATTTAAAAATACATTCAGCATTATAGATTTTATTATTAAAAACCAGAAAATCTAAATTAGTTTGTTTGTAAAATTTAAAAATATATGAATAAAAATAGGTTAAAGTTAAAAATATACAAAGTATTTACAATGATATTATTTTAAATAATATTTTTATAAAAATTATTTAAATAGGCATAAAAATAAATTTTCATATAAATAAAAATAAGTGATAATATAGTTTTTCCAGTCGACTGTTAATAAGTGGAAAGTTTTGCTGAAAAACAAATTAAAGTATTATTTAATACAATAATAAACACAAAAACCCACAGAATATACAGAATTTATGTTTAATATGTACTGAAATAGAAAAATATTTGCATTTAATTTTATTATTCAATATTTGAATTTCAAATTAAATTTGATTTGATTTACAACTCATATAAACAGTGAATTGAGAGGAGAAAGAGAGAGAGAGAGAGAGAGGAGAGAGAGGGAGAGGGAGAGAGAGAGAGTCTGAGTTTGTGAGAAAGCCTTATATTAGCGTTCAATGAAGGTCTGCCTGCGTTCACGATTGTGTTAGTCGTATGACATTTACAGACAAACATATATTTCTCACTTGATATGAGATAACAATTTTATCCTATCGTTAGATAAGTGTATAGAAAATTGTCAACAATTGAGTTGTATTTACAGTGAAGAGAGAGAGAGAGAGAGAGAGAGAGAGAGAGAGCGACAGAAATTGCATTTAATATTAACATTAATTATTTTTGAACATTAAATATAACCCTTTTCTTGCGAACATTTATATGACAAATACAATCTCTAATTAGCAAAAATCTTACCTTTTTCTAACACCTTATATGTTGTTTTAATAAGGGATTTATATATATCTTTCTCTCCCCTCCCTCTCACTCATATCTTTCATAACTTTTAGCATCCATTGAGATCTCTATCTCCAGTAATAGTATTTGCAAAGCACTATAAATTCGGGATTTTTAAAACTGCTATTATAAACATGGTATGTGTCTCTGACCTATCGGTTTTTGTGATAGATAAATATTTTTCTTGCTTATTATTGTATAAGTTTTACGTTTTGTGTGTTGAATGTGTGTATAATCTGTGGGTTTTTGTATATATTATTGTATTAAATAATGCTTTAATTTGTTTTTCAGCAAAAGTACTGAAATAGAAAAATATTTGCATTTAATTTTATTATTCAATATTTGAATTTCAAATTAAATTTGATTTGATTTACAACTCATATAAACAGTGAATTGAGAGGAGAGAGAGAGAGAGAGAGAGAGCGACAGAAATTGCACTTAATATTAACATTAATTATTTTTAAACATTAAATATAACCCTTTTCTTGCGAACATTTATATGACAAATACAATCTCTAATTAGCAAAAATCTTACCTTTTTCTAACACCTTATAAGTTGTTTTAATAAGGGATTTATATATCCCTCTCTCCCCTCCCTTTCACTCATATCTTTCATAACTTTTAGCATCCATTGAGATCTCTATCTCCAGTAATAGTATTTGCAAAGCACTATAAATTCGGGATTTTTTTGAACTGCTATTATAAACATGGTATGTGTCTCTGACCTATCGGTTTTTGTGATAGATAAATATTTTTCTTGCTTATTATTGTATAAGTTTTACGTTTTGTGTGTTGAATGTGTGTATAAGAGAGAGAGAGAGAGAGAGAGAGAGAGAGAGAGAGAGAGAGAGACCAGAATAAGATAAAATTGTCTAGTTTACAAACCCGTGAGCTATGTATACACCAAAACATTTTTGAAAAATATTGTAGCGATTCGTTCATTCATTGATAGTATTTTTTCCTGGAAATTGCATTTAGATTTGGATTTTAATAATAATATATATTTTTGCCCAAACCGTTATCACTTGTCTCCAAACTTATTAATACTGTATAATATGATTTTTCCCAAACAATTAATCTAATATATATTTAAATCTTGTTTACGATTGATTTTATTGAATTAATTTTCATGAATTTTTCAATCGCATTTTTGTCATGAATAATTAGCATAACGGTAATACATATCAATTTCAATTTACATTGCATCTCTCTCTCTCTCTCTTTCTTTCTCTCTCTTCTTTCTCTTTTTATCCATTTTCATCACTCATTGTTTGAATAAAATTTGAATTTTTCAAGAATCGTATAAAATATTAAATCTCTTTATATTTGAAATTTGAAATCTTATTTCAATTCTACTATAAGTGAATGCAATACTAGTATTATATTTTACTCTCATCTCTCTCTCTCTCTCTCTCTCTCACCCCCACTACAGGAGCTTTTAGTTTACAATAGCAATACATTAAGTAGACAATAGCAGTGTATATATAATTTATATATAATTTTTCATATTGGATATTACAGCTATTTTTAAAAACTACACTTAAAATTTCAAGAATATTCTGATGTCATTGGAATAGAGCTAATCGTTATGTAGGTGTATATTTAAAGTATAATGGTTAATACAGAAAATACTCATTGTAAATTTATACATATCTAACCTGATGGAATACTGTATAGAGATTTTATGCATAATTCCTGTAGTCCTTAAGGCATTTTAAAAACTCTATTTTTGACATCTTTTATATTTTGCTTAAAATATTTGTCACAAATAATCTTTGTCCATTTAGTCTGTGTCTGCTATTTTGGCATTCATTTGGCAAAAATGATTTACTTTAAGAGTTATACTATTACTCTCTCATTCATATTCATTAAGAATATTCTTGTTTTCACAGAGAATTTATTCATACAAAAGTTCTTTGAGTGTTAATTAAGAGATGATTAAAAATATGCGTATATTCTCTCTCTCTCTCTCTCTCTCTCTCTCTCTCTCTCGTGACTGAAGTGTCCGTATATTACGAAAAAATAATATATATTTTACTCAATATAAACCCCCGACGTCTCCCTAATATGGCGTAAACACTGTATATATCTTAACAGTGGTTGACAGGTATCTCTCTCTCTCTCTCTCTCTCTCTCTCTCTCTCTTTCTCTCTCTCTCATTAGCCCGCTTTTGACTCAAGCAATTCATTACGTTAATAACAATTCAGACAACAATAGTATTAAATGTACATTTCTCAGTTAACTTTTAACATTTATCTGAACACGAGTTATTTAAATGGGATTTTTGACGTTCAATTCCGTGCCTAAAATGTTATTATTTTGTGTATGAAATTCAAGAATTGCCAAAAACCCACACAAAACTGACAGTCAGTATTAGGGGAAAATAGGCTGCGATTACAGCAACACAAAAAAAATAAGTGGCAATATTTTTAAATGGTAAAAATATTTCGCATATTAAATATTTAATTTACATATAAGTGTGTTTTTTGGCAAGTGTTGCCATATATTCAATACACTGTACATTTTGTTGCCGTTGAATATACATGTTATGGGAAAATATTTACATAAATATTTGCCATATACTGTGTCCGCACACCGAAAATGTCTATTTAGTGAACCATTTCTTATTGAGTTATAGTCTTACAAAATATAATGCAAAACAAAAAACAAATCATTTGATATTTTAAGTGAACATATATTTATTTGTTGTATTTGTATAGCACTTGGATTTTTGCTAAAAAGTTTTTGTTCAAACTTTCACGCATTCAATTAACGCCACGAAAAATAACAAAACAAATATAACTTATAATGAATTCAGTGATTATTTTCATTCAAGATATGTGTCACTAAAATTCATGGCTTAATTCTCAAACATTTTCTTTAATACTTTTTTATCAAAACAATTACTTGTTTTTCTGTTTTGTCTTTAAAGTGAAAATAACAAAATCCTATTATAATTGCATATAATTAAATAGAAATTGATTTTATATTTAATTTTGTAATTATTATGGGAAATGAATACTTGTTTTTTTATCACATTTTAAATGCTAATAATCGCAACAATAAAAGCAAAAATAATAAATTATTAGTACGTAAACAGAATAACACAGAATATTCTGTGTCCGTACAAAACAACACGGAATTTGTTTTGCAAATCAATCATTTCTAATGTCTATTTGTGTGCGAATTATAACCACAATAAACATGTTTTAACATCAATAATACTGATTGCAAACGTTATTTCCAAACCAAATAATATAATAAATTCAATTTCTCCATACATTTGTTGCTATAATTAGACCAATAATTTGCCACGAATCCAATCAATTATTGCAGCTAGCTCATATGTTTATTTTCTACCCTCATATATATATAGACAAAAGCGCATTTGGATGTATTGGCTGACGCGCTGCTCCGATGGGCCAGAGGTCGATACTAATTATCATTAAACATCAAATGTCTGTACCATTCAAATAACACTCACCACCACTACTACTACCAACCAATACCACTACAACTAACAGCTATTATATCCATTAAAATTAGTTTTGAAATAACAAACTATTGAATTGACAAATAATTTTGAAGTCACACAACAGATAGTAATTACAAACTAATTATTATTATTGATATGAATATTATTATAATTATTATATAATGTTATCAATGAAATCATACAAACAACTGAATTAATTTATTTAGGTTTTGTGATAATTTCTAATAATAATAATTATTATAATCATTAACATTATGATTACAAAAATAAAACATGATAATAATGTGTTCAACAAAACAAAAAAACCCATAAAAACAAAACAAAAAAAGTTTACAAACCAAATATAATATCATTAATAATTAGTTTTATTATATATTTAATAACTTATATATCGTTTTATGGTTGATATCCAATTAATTAAATCATAAATTTAAATCAATTTTTATTTCCAAAACAACAAATCATAACTAAACAAAATGTCATAGATGTCATTTTTTGTTGCATTTTATTATTTGTTGGTTATATAGTTATATTGTGCACCGATTCTGTCTAACAATAGATGTAAACAACGCTATTATTATTTATGATTACTATTATCATGATTGAAAAATGTATTTATTTTATATATATCGTTTTTAGTATATATAATATATATAAGTATATATAAAATGTATTCATTCTTGTTGTTTTTTCTATATAATTCATAGTCTATTGTCTCTCCTGTCTTGACAAATATATTATATATACGTGTATTAATAAACAACCTAGACAAAAAACAATTTTTGAGATCTAGTTATGTTAGATGTGTTTGTTTTTATCATTTGTGTTTTTCTACTTTTTATTTCATTCATAACAAAAAAAACAATATTCCGATAAATATATTCTTGTGATATAAATACAAAACACAACACAACCGAGTGATGAAATTTTAAATGTGTTTTTACGTGTCGTTCAACTGTTAAAAACTCATTACAATTAATAAATATATTTATGAAACAAAATTATAAAAACACTAAATAATTACATGATTATTGAAGTAAAACATTTAAGTAAATTAATTATCATTTTTTATTTTACGGCACAAACAATATATACATTTATTTGCAGTTATCAACAGTTTAAAAGTTTACTTATTAGCGATATTTTATCACAGAATTCATTATAATAACGATATTATATACTATTTATAGTAAAGTATAAAAACATACACCGAAAAAATAAATGAAAAAATATTTTGCTTATAAATTAATACACAAAAAACACTAAAAAATACATAAAAATTAATAAAATAAATAACCAAAACATTTCTAACTTATTATATGTGTTCATAAATAAATAAAATCAAAAATTAATCACAAATTTTTGATTTCAAACGATTTAAATATGAGAATACAAATTATTTTTTAAATATAACGATGACATTTGTCAAGAATATTACTCTCCAGGGTGAATTACTCCTTACATTTATATGGCAATATGGCTTTTGTGTGGCTGTAGTAACTTATATCCGAGAAAAGTGTGGGTGCGATACAACACGAGTGACAGGAAATTAAATCAAACAACAAAAACGTTTTTATTTGTCGTTACCTTTTGTGTCAAATAATAATAAAATAGTGAAAGAATAAGTGATTTTCAAAAAAATTTATTATTCAATTTTGTATAAGAGTTTTCTCTCCAATTCACTCCTTTACTCTATTTGCTCTCTCTCTCTCGTCATTCAATTAACTTTCACTTATAGATTGTATAACATATATGTCTAACTATTATACCATTAAATAATATGATAAATTATTAACCACTAGTCGTTGAAAAGTCTTTCACACAAAATCATAAGTAAATGTATTTTCTTTTCAAATATCAAGAAAAAGTCGATTGAGTTATGCTTTTAGAGGCGGAAAATACATGACAAAAATTTGATCACTTGCTAACAACTCATATAGTTTTCGGGTTTATATATAGAAATATTACCGCAAAAAAATTATATATTTTCGATATGAAGTTACTGTAAAACACCACTCTTCACTTGTATACTATGGCATTTAGTTTAAAAGAGTGTTTTACAAATTATGGACATTACTTTATTGCTTTGCTCTTTTTTTAGCATTAAAAAACTTCAAATAAAATAAAATTATGGACCAAAAAATACTTTAACAGAAACAGAAAATACTTTATCAAATACTATATCTATTTTATGTACAGTATATATGCTGTAAGTTAGAGACTTTACATATACATACTGTACAGTATATACACAGATATATTGGACGGTGAAAAGAGCAGCAAAATAAATACACAAAACCATATTATAAAAAAATATTTAAGTGAATAAAGCGCTCAAAAACGTGATGTCTATATATTATATACGGTATAAATCACTCAATACTCAAGTCTTGAAAGACAATACTGAGAAATTGATCCAATAGTGAGATAATTACACTTAAAACACAAATATTTAGTAAATAATCACACATTGAAATTATTGCGGGGTATGGAGTGGTAGGGTATGTATACTAGGAGTGGGTGCACACATGTATGTATAGGGAATATACTACATGTTGAGTGTATGATTGGGTATATCCATCGCATCAGTAGGCTGTATGAAGTTATGCAGAATATGTGTGTGTAATCATTGGATTCAATGAATTCTGTGTGATTTGTGTGTATATGAAAGCAAATAATACACAGAATATTCTTGAGATAGAAAATACCAGAATCTCAATAAAATTGATTCTTATTAACCAAAAAACAGAATATATTTTTTTCCGCGAAAAATACAAACAAATAATTTCATGACATTTAAAGATAATAAGATAAAACTCTCCATTAGTTTCATTGTTTAGATTTTTTCCTTTTTTTGAGAATCAAATAAACATTTCGTGAGAAATATTTTACCCAAAAATTTCTTCCTTAGAAACACACGATATATACCGATAATGAAAAATATATTGCATTCACATCTATGTAAACATTGAGAAATTGTTTGCTTAGTTTACATCTATTTGCATACATACAGGTATATCGATGGTATAAAACACAACATTAATTTAATTATATTTTGAAGTAAAACTATTATATGACATTTTATTAAAATTATGTAACATTTATTAAAGGGTAAACCTATTTTCCATCAGGATAGATTATAAAAATGTTTAATTTATATATCGACAACATTATTATTGTTTGTAAGTCAGTGCACATAATGTCAGTCCTATCTATCGATAATTGAATTAAATTGAGAGCCCATTGAGAGTCCATACCTGTCAACCACTGTTAAGATATATACAGTGTTTACGCCATATTAGGGAGACGTCGGGGGTTTATATTGAGTAAAATATATATTATTTTTTCGTAATATACGGACACTTCAGTCACGAGAATGTTATTTATCGACAGAGTTTATATAATAGACAATATAAATGAAACTTTTATCTGTCAAAAATAAAACTGTGTCTAAAAATAGTACCCAGAATATAGTCGACGACCGGAATAATAATGATTTTTCAAGAATTAAATCCTATATAAACAACAGGAAGAAAGTTAGAGAGAG